AGGAAACGCTTTCACTAAGAGAGATTTTAAGGAGATAGCGATTATGTAAATTGCATTCTCAAAAATTCGATTATGATTACGACATCCCTTTTCATAATTAGAATTGTGAGATTTGGCAATCGGTCTGAACATTTGGGACTTATTAATATAAGTTTTGAATTAGTTTAGACACACATGTGAGCTGTCTGAGGAAATGTGTATGAGTTTGAGAAGCTTAGATAAAGGCTTATCGAAGCACATCGTATTGGAAATATGAACTTTGGAAGTCAATAAGTATTGTCTTCTAGAAGTCCAACTATTTTCTGAATACGTGTCGAAGCTAGTGGGAGCATAAATGTTATGCTGAATGGATATAATCATCATGTTAGTGGGAGCATGATTATTATTTTAAGTATTGCAAGTTGGCAATATTAATTATAGAAAAACAAAAGTTTCACTTTGCAAAGTTGCAGGGGTTGAAAAGTTGTTTTTGCTATAATTAAGGGAGAAAAATGTTATACTTCGTTTCCAATCTAAAAGCTTAGATCGAGAAATTTTAATTGAATTTAGTAAAGGGTATATTTATTATTTGCATTCTCAAAGTTCGATTATGATTACGGCATCCCTCTTCATAGTTCGAATTTCGAGAACACGGCAAATAGAAATATTATGACAATATTATAGTAAGAAACTGGTAAAGTATCACGTTTTTCATTATGAATTGTATCCCATAACGCTTTGGGTATATGATCAATTGCATATGCAGTAATATTCGACCGTTCTAAAATTTCCAAATGCCTAGGGCATTTAGAGGGAAAAAGGAAATAGAACCGGTTTTGAATAAAACAATTAAACAACTGCCAAGGACAATCTAAGGTTCGACAAGGATTGGTCGCTTGTGGACAATTGAAAGTATAGTCATGGATGGACCATATTGACATTATTATGAATAGATAAGATTCTATTTAGAATGAGTTGTCATATGTATAATATAGAAATGTTTCCATATTGGGAGTTGGATATCGAGAATCATGTCTAGATTAGAAACTTTTATGCAAGAAGAATGTTCAAAGGAATGTACTTTGAATATGAGACTTCATGACTATGGAATTGTCTTGTAACAATATCCAATAGAGTATTTTGTAATTTCATTGGCCGAGTCTTGGTGACTTTTGTTCCGTGACATTACGAAGGGACTGTTGCATAAAATGTTAGAATCTAACATATTCTAGTAGTGGCGAGAATTTTGTATTCTTACACTAATGAATTAGGAATTGTGAAATGAGTGTGATTGAAAATGTTATTCAATTATACTATTTCACAAAAGTAAGGACCATAGGTAAACATAGTGTGCATGCTGAGAGCATGGGACAATTGTAGTTATAATTCAAGTTAGAAGTTGATTAAACGAAACAACAAATGATGAGTAATCAATATGGTGATTAAATAAAATGTTTTATTTATACTCAAAGGTTTGAGGCCATATAGGATTAGTATTATTCTTGTGTTTCACTTTGCATGTTTTGACTTCCCGAATAATAAGATTATTCAAACCCTCCACAGTCGCTTATTCTTTGGAAGTAGGAATGAATGAAGACTATCATGAATTCGTCTGTAGATTGACTGAAACATTTAGTCATAGCACAAGTTTGCTACAGAGTTCATGAGTGCAGCTATAAGATTAGAGTATTAGATTAAACCCACGCTCACTTGGATCGCTTCATGGATTTTATCACGAGTGATTGGTGAGACGGTAATATCTTATATTCTTGAAACCGAGCTGTGTAAGTTGTATCTTGCGAGTCGGTTACACATTGATAATATGTAAACGCACCAGTAACTTGGTGTTATAAAACGTATTGTTATGTGTGATTCGGTGAGTGAGTGCAAGCGAGCATTGAGTCGAAGTTTATCCGTTCCTTTTACCCAAAGTGGGATAAAAGCGATATCTGTGGGCCCCTCGATGATTTAGTGATGACACCCTAAGCGCTTGGCCAAGCCGGGACTAAGTTGATGTGTTCAACTGTAGTCTGTTGTCAGTCGTCATAAATTGGAAGTCGGGAAACAATATATAGACAGAGAGAATGATTTAAATCCATGTCTCAGTCTATACGATATCAAGAATGGAGGAATATATGATCCCTTATCTAAAGGACACGCTTCTGATAAGATCAGAGTTGACAGCGGCTTTTGAAAGCTACGATTGCGGATTAGGATCTGAAGTCATACGCAGAATAGTTATTAGACTTATCCAAGTCGGAGACTTTTGGATTAGTGTCTAAGTCCATAACCATTTTGGTATGTACTTGACCCGATGGTGCATGGTCCTTTTGGGTTGCCTTCACCAAAGCAACTTGATAGAATGAATTATGGAGAGAGAGGATTAATTATGATTTATTAATGTATTTTTGAGAATAATATATTAAAGGAGAAATCATATTGTTTAATTAATATTAGTCAATAATTAATTAAGAATTAATTTTGTGGCTAATAGAGATTAATTAAACTTAGGGGACTAGAACTATCAATTGTGTGATAGTTGAATATTGGGCTAATGGACTCCATATTAGAGGAGTGGACGAATTCTATGGGGGAAACCCATTAGAAATCGTCCAAGGCCTCTAAGGAGGGAGTCCATGGGTTGCTTAGGGCCTAAGCAGTCATATTAGGGTTTCCTTGTTAGATAACCCTAATAGCCTCACTATTTAAGGACCCCTAGGGCACCAAAAACGTGGTGAAGAGTTTCCTTAGGGTTTCTAGACGTTTTTTGGGTGCCTCTGCTCTTCTCCTTCTTCATCCTCTTGCTTTTGGTGTTTGTGAGCCATTAGAGGTGTGACATTTGTGACACTAAGTTTTCTAAAGCCAATTACAAGAAAGGAATAGATTGTTATTGCTACATAACAATCAAAGGTAAGATCTAAACCCTATTCTTATGCTAATATCGATTATCACATGCTAGATCTAGGGTTTATGGCTTTGGATGATTATTGCATGTTCACTAGACAAACTAGATCTAAAGCTTTAGGGTTTGCATGTACACCATAGGAATGATGTAGTGCTCAAAAACCCACCAGGATCGTGCCCAAGCGCTCACCCCCACGATCTCCAAAATCTCCTCCTTAACTGAACCAAAAGATCGCATGAGTCTGCTCCATAATACCACGGGTAATCACCGACGAGATGAATGCCCGCATCTGCTTGCTCGTCGTCTCAGTACCTGCACCTGAACCGGAACCAGACCTCCTCCCTGAGCGCCCATCACCAAACTACAACATGCCAATGATCAGAATACACCTAAAGATCCTCCTCTCACAAGCTTTTTAGATTCTCTAAGACTCTCCCCAATTCGAGTATGGATCCTGTGCTTTTAGTAGTACGGGCCCAATACTACCTTCCACACCTATCCATACTTTCCTCAAGAATCATCCTGAATCCTCTAAGTCACCTACTCAAACTGATGCACCAAAGCTCACTAAACAACGCGACTACAACCGCTACAACACTCCCTAGGCTCACCTAGATTCCCAACCTTACCCTGCCATCAGCTGCTGAAGAGCTCCCCATAATTCCAGTCACCCACCTCATGAATACCATCATATTTACTTAGTAGCTGACTCCCATCATCCAAGATTTCCACAAAGCACAAAGCAAGCAGCATTCGGGCAGTAACACTCCGATCCATAGAATGATCATATGACATTCAGCCCACACAACCACAACTCATGCTAGAAATTCCACCCTTACCGACGGCTGCCTTATGCATGCAAATTATACACAGAACAGGATCGGATAGACTGTCGAATAATAGACTCTACCCTAGGACCACAACCAGACAAGGAACAGGAAGTAAGGCCAAATCAATTATTCTAGGGCTATAAGATCCTAACCGTATACAATTTTTAAAGCATACACTTAGCAGTTACTGATACCAATAGATATTTCCATTACAACATAGCATCCAATACTCCCAAGACTACAAAACATCACACATATCAAGCCAATCTATCACTGACTAATCAACTCTAGCATGCAAGTCTACCAACTCATACAATAAGCATACAAAGGCATCTCTCCTAGCATTCTATCATGCAGAAACTAAGCAGATCCTTAGCCATAACTAGCATGTGATTCACCAATTCATAAATTAAATCATATTAGATAACACGTATGAGTATTTTGGGAAAACTTACTTGAGCTCGGCTGATTGCATGCACCACACCCATTTTCTTATCTTAGAGAATTCCTTTTCTCAAAAACATTTTTCTTTTGAAAACTCTACCAAATCCTCAGTTTGAGTTTAGACACACCTGAGAGTATGTCCGAATCCCTCAAACCAAGGCTCTGATACCAACTTGTAACATCCCAAAAATCCAGACATAATTTTTTTTTTGTTTTTAGTTTAATAAATCATTAATACATATCTTTCCCATAAGACCAAGGAAAACAAGTTTTAGCTAAACATCATTAAATCAGAGTAATTCACAAAATACGGAAACATGTGGTGTGTGCTCTGCAATTATCCCGAGCCCTTCCATCTAAAAACTGGAGTACCTGAAACATAAACTAAAAACTGTAAGCATAAAGCTTAGTGAGTTCCCCAAAATACCATACAACATACAACCACAGATTATCATGCACCACACATATAGTTGCCATGGGATCCCCCCATGGTCTTTATCTGGTATGCTATGGGCTCCCCCATGGTCTTTACCTGGAAGGGTAAATGTCATATTAACCCAACGAACTTTTCACGGTTGTCCGATTTAGTCACCAAAGTTATTTTCTGCGCAATAGATCACTAAACTTGTTGGTAACCTGTTAATTACGCCAGTTTACCTGATTTTATAGGTTGCCAAGTTTTACTTGCCATTTTACTCCGATCTACGTCTATTCAAAACCATTATCTCCTTCTTTCCTTTCCTCTATACACATCTAATTGCATTCTTCGTTCTTTCCTCTAATCACACACATTTGTGTGTGTAATTTCTCAAACCCCACCTCCATTTCCCTTCAATTTCACCATGGGAAGTGATCCAAAGATGAAGATGAAGATCAATATAAAGAAATCATCCACTATTCCTCTTTCAGAACCCATTGCAGGGAGATTGGATAGAGATGAGATCGACCAAATCGTGATTAACTGTAACATAGAGGGAGTTCTATTTATAGAGGCGGAGTTGGATTCCATGTTGGATACCTTTGGTGAGTTCACGTCATCACCGGAATCCGCCGCCTTACTCCGTCTATTGATTACCCTGACGAAATTTCTTCCTATCCACTATTGTTTGCACAGGTACATCATCTATCCCCTAATTATCTTAGATTTCTTCTCAACAGTAAACGTAATCTTTTGGGTTTGACTCTCACCTGAATTTGGATTTGACAATTGAGAATTGGGGATGATTTTGTCTGTCGATATAAATGGAGGGGATACCCTTTTCGAATTTTTTGTTTGTTGTTATTGGTTGTGTTGAAAATCTTGTTGTACGTTTGAAGGGTTGGAGATGAAGAAAGGGTATTAAAGGTGACTTTTTCAGGAGCATGTTGTTTGGAAGATACTTTGGCTGGTAAAGGATATTTTCTGTGTAAATTTTTATCTGTAGAAGATGAAAGTGAAATCATGATGGTGGTTGTAGATGGTGATATAAGGTGGCAGACGGTGGTTTAAGGTGATGGTGTTTGAATGTTCTACAAACAATATGAATAATACTGGGTTTCATAATGAACATGACCAAAGAAAGGTTCAAGAACAAAATAATAATAATAAACCTGGTGGATGTTGACATGGCATTCAAACCCTTCTTAACATGTATATTACCTTTGAACCCGGTTTCAGGTAACATTAGGGTATTTTAAAATAGAGAAATGTAAGTTTATTCCTTTAATGTGCAAAAAAAATAGTTTAGTGACCTTTTAAAACAAACACGATAAGTTTGATGGGTTAATATGACATTTACCCTACCTGGAATGCCATGAGCTTCCCCTCATGGTCTGATATCCAATTGCCACGGGGTCCCCATGGGGTCTTCCATGCAAGTATCACAGAGACAACTAGCATACCACATAACACGTAATGGGCCGGCATTGGTGCCTTCGACCTATGGATACAGTGAAAAGACTCACCTCAAACGCTACACGAATAATCCTACACTGCCGCTGCTGCTGCGAACCGACCCCCGAATTGAGCCAAACAATGCACCACCATAATCAATAACTAAACAAGGCTAGACCCCAACACTAGGCCTAAAGATAGCCCAACTAACCAGGCCCACTATTGGTCCAAATCCATTGGGCCCACTAAAAGGCCCAAATCCATTGGGCCCACTAAGGCCCAACAAGGAAAGCCCAAAATCTAAACCAAAGAGGAGTCCAAATCCACAAGTAATTCCCCAGACCAAGAAATCCAACACTCAAAGCCCAAGACTCAAAACCAAAGCCCAAAGTCCAAAAATGTCAAACGAGCCCAAAATGGCACTGGGCCATTTACGTTGGGCGTACCCAACAGGTACGCTGGGCATACTACCAAATCCCTCAGTACACAGGTCGTACTAACATTTACGCTGGGCGTAGATGCGATTTATCCAAACTTGATTCATGACTTAATCCCTTAAGCACTTGGCCCCAAAACCTCATGAAACCTTCGAAATAAGCCCTTAACTGATAAAGTTGGCAAATTTATCAGTTTTCATGTCTTAATGAGGCCCAAGAATTAAAATTTTTCCTTTAAGACCCATAAAAACCACCTTAACACATGCATGGTCCATCCTAAAACATCAAGTAATCATCTTTATGAACTAATAACCTCAAAGATACTAAGAGTAGCAACTCAAAAAGCTCCTGGAGTGGTGGCAAACCACTAGATCTCACCCATGAGACCAAAATGGGACCAAAACTCATATAATACTAGATCTAGGCTTCAAATGAACAAGGTTGGAGCTTTATACCTATAATGAGCTAGAAATGAAGAAGAGAGTCCAGATCCACAAGCCTTCCTTTGATCCACAACCTTGCATTAAGTTCCAATTCTTGAATAAACACCAAAACCCACTAAAGATGCACACAAAGAGCTCACAACACTCTTTGAGGAGGCTAGGGTTCGAAATTAGGGTTTTAGAACAATGGAGGCTGATAAATGAGGGAGTCTTGAGGTTATAATGATGTTTATATAGTGCCCAAACCCTAAAAAAATAAGGTTTAGCACTCCGACCATTACGCGAGTCATACCATTAGGTACGCTGGGCGTACCTGGTCTACCCACGCGTCCCTTAGATCAACACATGGGACTAATCTGCCAACTTATTCCACCAAGGGCCAAACTTGCCAAAACTTCAAACTACCATAACTTCTTCGTTATAAGCCCGTTTCCAATGAACTTTATATCCACGAAAAGGTGGCAAGGAGCCTTACGCTTCTAAAAACACACCATAGCATTAAAACTCCCCGAACAAAAACCCAATATTCATAAAAGATCGAGTTATCAAATTACGATTATACCATTGGACTCCGAAAACGCCATCAAACACTTGCATCACTTAAACCGTAACACTCACATCCAAGAAGGGCTAAATCCTTCCTTCCCTAAGGCCCAAAGCCTTATGATGACTGATAACTGGGCCACGGCCCCACACAATGAAACTATTCGAAACCGGGTGTTACATTAACCTCCAAATTTCCAATCCTAATTATTTTATTATATAACTATCATCTTTTTGTTAGTTAATCTCTTTGACTATTAGTTATATTATATTTAATAAGTTAAAGCAAAATTAAATATTTAAAAAAATGAGGATTAGCTAAGTGTTACAAAATCTCGGTTTTTCCTCCCTAAAGTGCTTTTCAAATTCATTCAAAAGAAGTCATAATTCTGAAAAGTGATGCTAAACTCCAATCTCACAAACAGTTCCTAAAATAGAGATGATTCTTCCACTTACGAAATTGATTCATCTATATGATGAGGTATACCACTCGCAACTAACCTACAAATTAGTGAAACATATATTTTATAGAGACGAATCAGTTTTTTAAGTGGAGAATCACACCCTTCCGAAAAACAATCGCAAATGACCATGTGACTGTATAACCCTTATTCTTAAACTAGATATGCTCATATAGCCTTACAAACTTTTATAAATAGTGCTTTGATACAACTATATGAAATATCTTTAATATTGGATAAGGACGTACTTTTGGGCCTACTGTTGTTTGCCTTTATTATTTTGTCTTAGTTTTTTTCTCGAAATCACTCATCGTTATCTAATTATCACCTTTTGTTGTCTGTGAGTCCTTAAATGTCATCGGCAAGCTTTCAGTTTTGGAAAACACACAAAAGACTCGTGTCTAGACCAATCCACAAAAAGTATATAGTTCCCTAAATGATGTGAAATACATGTATAATGTGCGATGAAAATAACCAAGAAAACGTGATAAAAGAAGCACAAAAATGTATCTAACAAAAGCGTGAACGAAAAGTAAACTTAAAGTAGATATTATCCTATAAAATCATTAGGAAATATTTCATTATAAGATGTGGAATATGTTTGTTCATTGCAATATCTTACTTCCAGTGCATTACATCATAAATGCACACAACCGATATTATTTTCTGAACATATAATTTCTTTTTCGAAAAATATCACATTAACTTGAATTATATAGCTACTTTTTAAAATTAAAAGTATATCTAAGAAATTTATTTTATTCACTCTTGATTTTTATTCTTGATTTTTTCAGCTAAAAAAATAATTGCGTTTTTACATTATACTTAGTAGAAGCCATATATCAAATACTAGTTCTTTTAGTCTTTTAGGTGTTGTTTGTTTTTTTATAAAAACTTCTTCAAACCATTTATTGCTGTTTGTTTTTTGGAAGACTTCAGACTACAAAACCTCTGCGCATGTGCTGCGTGGCGCAGCACTTGACTTGCCTCTTCTAACCTCTTCAGCTTTCATTTTTTCCAAGTGTTTTTTAAGAATTTTTTTATAACTTATTTTTTATAACTTATTTTTTTTAAACTTTGATTTTCTTAAATTTTTATTTACGGATGTGATACAATTTATTTTTATAGTTTCCATGATTTTTTTAACTTGATTTTTAAATTTTTTTTTACCGTTTCTATTAATAATATTTTCAATTTCAGTTGCATCTTTTTTAATGTGTGTAATTTTTTACGAACTTTGTAGACATCGTTTGCAATACTTTTTTAATTTTTTTATTATTTTCTTTTTTTAATGTTTTTTATAATTAGTTTTTTTTTCTAGAATAAAACTATTAGTTTCTTTTACATTTTTTTAAGTTTTTTTTTTAAAAAAAAGTTTTATATTTTTGTTTTTTTATATGTTCTTTTTATTATTATTTCAATGTTTTAAGACTAGAATTATTAAATTTCGGTGTTGAGAACTATTTTCAGTTTATAAAATTAGTTTATTTAAATTTCAGTTTACTGCAGCAGTCTGCAGATGTTAAAAAACAAACATGCTTCTTATTATAGGCTGCAGCCGTTTGTTCCACATCTTCTGCTACAGAGGATTGCAGAGGTGGTCCACAGACTTCATGAATTTTCGCTTCCAAAAAACAAACAGCACCTTAGTTTAAATCGATCACAACGACTCTTTTTCTATTTAGGGTATATTTGACAAATATAAGTAGTAGTTAGGAGTTGAAAAATATGACATTTAATTGAACTAAAGGTGGTTTGTGTATAAATGTTTGGAAAATATAGCATTTAATTGAACTAAATGTGGTTTGTGTATAAATATTTGGAAAATATAGCATTTAATTGAACTAAAGGTGGTGGATTTTCACTCTGTATAAATGTTTGGTGAAACTAGGTCTATCTGAGCTTTTGAAATGTGTAAACTTATAGTATAAAATTAAATTTTTGTTGAAATAACTTCTAGATTAGAAATTCTTTTTTCTAAAATAAACGCTTTTAATAAATAATCCCAAGTAAAGCTTTAAATGATACAAAACAATATACATTAGTTAACATAGGGACTTGTATCTCTTGAAGCCATTGACAAAAAACACATTCCTTTAAAGATTCGAGTATCATGACACAAATAAAGTAAAAGTAAAGATACATCTTTACATAATGTATTATTACTTTTACATGCTTTCTCTTGTAGATCATATAATTATATCAAGAACATGATTTGCTTTCTTTCCTAGTTCAAAATGTTAACAAAGTCCATAGTGTACATCGTACATAGCAAAACTGAAACAAATTAAATAAATCAAATATATATAAACTTAAATTTGAAGAGTCAAACATGACAATGACAAGTGAGAAACTTTAACTTTATTTTTGATGTAAATGAATGATGTTATTCTAAATTTGGAGTAATACGATTCATAACATTATTTTTTGTTTAAAAAATAGAGCTAGATAAGATACGTTTAACTATATTTTTTATACCAAAAAAAAAATATTATATTTTTATAGTTGGGTTGGAATGTTATTTTGGTATTGAATAAATTAGATCCTATCTATATCTTTTCCTACCCAAATCCTGAAAACCCAACTCAACCAAACTAAAATGTGTTATATCCATCAAATAGTTGTATGGAATTTATCCTATTTGAAATCTTACTCCTATCTCTTGAAACCAATGACCAAAAAGGTAATCTTTTAAAGAGTCAAGCATCATTACACCAAGAAAGAAAGAAAAAGGTACACTTTTGGTTTATTCCCTTACATAATTTACGACTATATTTTTTTACTCTATCTTGTAGGTCATATAGTAATGTATCTTTTTCATAGTAGCATAATTGATATACAAGTGTGGTGTGTATGTGGTATCAGTTTAATTGTATTTTTCTGTTTCTCATGTCCACAATCATATAATAAAAATGCAAGTATTAAACTTCAAAAAGAATAACATCTTTTCATTCATGTACGATAACCACTCATTTATAATGAAGTGAAAGCGAATTATGCGGCATAAGCACCGCTCATCCTGCGAAAAGAAACATATTCCTTCCCTTCGTATACAATAACAATACATTCCCAGATGTTCATCCCTTTCTCTGGCTCAATGGTAAAAACCCATGGCGCCCCCACACAATTTGATTCTGTTTCTCCATTCATTAGCCATTTCCATCATGTATTTATACATACAAGGTACCCCATTATTTCTCCTCCATAACCCACCTTCTCAAATTCATTCTTCATATTTTCCAATTTGTTTTTTTGCTTGATTTATAGATTATCGTAAAAATTAGGAATCATGGGAAGGAAGAACAGAGGAATGAGCAAAAGAAGGTCATCCAGAATCGATAGTTATCCCTGCATCTCTTCCTCCATTGCATACCCATCTTGCTTTTCATGCACTACTTTTAATATCCTCGCTCCTATTTACAAACGACTTATTCATGAGGTAAAACCCATATCCCTGATTTGATGTTTTTGGGGTTTAATTCTGATTTTGAAAATATGGTTAACTTTTCGGGGAACAACAGGATCGGAATTGCAGAGAAAGTGAAATCAAAGCGTATTGGTTGGATAGGAATGAAAGAATCTTAGATTTGCTGTTGCGTGAACGATCATCGATCATCTGTCTCCAGGTTTCTTATCATTCCCAAATATTCAAATTTCTTCGTGAACACCGAATAATCGCATTATCAAATCCATCGTTGATTCTTAGGAATTCTGGGTTAATAATGAAGAACTTGTAAACATGTACGACACAAGGCTTGGGGATGCAGGTTACACCATTTTCAAGCTTCCACGCACCAATAATCGTGGCGATGGTATATGCTAATAGCTATTTGCTATTCCCCCAAATACCATTTCATCACATAAACAGTTTTTAAAATTCTTATTTTTCTTTCTGTTTCTTCAAATTAAACAGGTTTATTCACTGCTGTTCATAATGATTACTTTCATGTTATCAACCATAAAGAGTTCCTGTTCAATGATTTTGGTGATCGTGTTGCTCAACTTTTGCATGTTGAAGTAAAGAATGTTGGTCGTGAAATTCTTATAGTCAACACTCACTTGTTATTTCCACATGATTCAAGCATGTGTTTGGAAAGATTGCGACAGGTTATAATTTATAAACTATCTTAATATACTTATACATCATATATATGTTCATGTTATCTTCATTTCTTGAAATTGACCTTTTTTATTATGTTTTGATAGGTGTACAAAATCTTGCAATATGTAGATGCTTATTTGAAAGAGAACAATCTTAACCCTTTGCCCATCATTCTTTGCGGGTAATTATGATTGTTACTTTATGTTTTTAGCTATATCATGTTAATATTTAGTTATTAACTATTAAGCCACACCATTATTTATTTATTTAAATCCATTTTAGTGATTGGAATGGAAGCAAACGAGGCCATGTTTACAAGTTTTTACGATCACAAGGATTTGTATCATCATATGATATTGCTCATCATTATACCGACGCCGATGCACATAAGGTCAATATTGTCAATATTTGTAACTTTTTTTGATCATTTACGACACATGCCATGAGTTTTCTGATCAATTTTGAATTTTGTTTGTTGTAATGCAGTGGGTTAGCCATAGAAATCATCGTGGAAACATATGTGGTGTGGATTTCATATGGCTTCTTAATCCAAATAAATATCGAAAAATACTCAAAACAAGTTGGAGTGATGCAGTTTTCGGTTTGTTCAAGGTACCATATAACCCACAAAATAAAAAATAACAGAGAAAACTAAACACATGAATGAATATACATGGAAAACTCCAAAACACTTTTTTTTTTTTTTTCTAATAATATATATTTTTATCAGTATCAAGTGAGTCGAGCCTCACTTACACGTGAAGATGCATTTGAATTTTTGAAGGCAGTGAGCAATGGTGATTCTATTACCTACTCTGGGTTTTGTGAAGCATTGCGACAGGTAACATACAAGAATGGTTACGTTATATAAATACATTCCGGAATCGGAATTGGAATTGGAATCGTGAATTCCATTGTTTGTTTTCATTGCAGCTTAATCTTATTGGTCATATGTACGGGCTAAGCGAGGAGGAAACAAAAGATTTATGGGTTCAAGCAGACATAGATGGAAATGGTGTTCTTGATCATAAAGAATTTCAAGAAAGAATATGGAATCCTATGTGGAGTTACCATGTTGAAAACACGATTAAGGATCAAGATGAGATTTTGAATGGAACCCAATTAAGTTTGGGATTGGGTGTAACAGATGCAGCATTATTCCCATCGGAAACAGAAAACGGATTGTGGCCAGAAGATTATTCGCTATCGGATCATGCAAGACTCACTGTTGTATTTTCACCGATTAGGCTGATTTCTTGATTTGTGGAGAAACAAACAATGGATCAAAACGACACCGCATGAGGATTTGAAGCACATGTCTTTGAGAGTGGGAAAACTAGAGAAACTTGTTGAAAAATGGAATCTAGTATATACTTTCTCACTGCTTTTGAGTGTTGTGTCAGCGTATGCGTATGTGTATTGTATCAGTATCTGTATATGTATTTGTAGCAGTACTTGTACAGAAATTTATATCAACACTAAAGGATCAATTTTGAAGATACAATCGTTAAATTTATGTGTTTTTTTTCAAAGATTCGTAAAGGGTATCCATGATTTTTTTGTATTTTGACTATTTGAATTTCGTGTCAACCGGAGACTGGTTTTGGAGGTGTGGACGTGTCAACGTTTAATTGGTTGTATGATTCTTCCTTTCTTATCTTCCACCTTAAGCCTTTACATATAAATGGATGGCATAAATGAAATTAAGACTCCATTTTTGTCCAATTGATATACGCTGTATATACACAGCATTAAAACGAAGGTACTTTTCTAGGAACCTCACTGGCACTTTCCTCTTTCACATACACCACTCGGCTGGCTGACGTTTTCAAGGAGATAAAAACCACCCTTTTTGCAAAACCCACCGAATTTCACAATCGATTATCAAGAACTCAAATTTTTTTTGTTCACAATCTATTGTAAATCTTTTTGTTAGGCGTGCATCTCGTTCTTGATTTCAATTTCTAGTTTTGCCCTCTTAATATGGACGTCTTACCTGCAAAATCTCTTCCGGTTGGCTACCGATTTCGTCCGACCGACGAAGAGCTGGTGAATCATTACTTAAGGTTGAAGATCAACGGTTTTGATAAAGAAGTGAGTTGTATTCGAGAAGTCGATGTCTGCAAGAAAGAGCCCTGGGACTTACCTGGTATCATCTTCTCTCGATTCTTTATCCCTTTTTCAAAATTCGAAGATGCGGAATCTAAATATTTTAGGGATAATCTAACCGTGTGTTTTTTTTACTAGATTTGTCGGTGATTGAGTCCATCGATAACGAATGGTTCTTCTTTTGCCCTAAAGATCGAAAGTATCAAAACGGCCAGCGATCAAATCGTGCTACGGTGTCTGGTTACTGGAAAGCTACCGGAAAAGATCGAACGATCAAGACTAACAGAGGAAGTAGCGTGATTGGAAAGAAGAAGACGCTTGTTTTCTATACTGGTAGGGCTCCAAAAGGCGAGAGGACTCATTGGGTGATACACGAGTATTGTGCTACCGAAAAGGAACTCGATGGAACACATCCTGGACAGGTAATCGCTCTAGAAATCTGAATTCTTGATTCTTAAACATATTTGTATCTATAACAGTTGTAACAATCGATTGGGAGTTTATAATGATTTATGTTCATCCAGAGTCCATATGTGCTTTGTCGTTTATTCAAGAAACACGATGGCAAGGAGGAAAATGCTGAAAGTTTAGACTGTGTTGATGTTGATCAAAGCGATGCTTCTCCTCCTTCTGTTGTAAAATCATCTACTGAAGATCCTCAATCAGAGCCCGTAACCCCAAATTTGACTGGTCAACCAAACATTCAACCTTTACTCAAAGAAAATCTCAAACTTGAAGAACTCAATAGAACAAATGACCCTTTGGACTTTCTCGATCATTCACAGTTAATGGTACATTTCCATTTTCTTTTTTGGGTCTTTCTTTTATTTTTCTACATACCCTTTTGTTGGTTTTTATAATATTCTAAATTTCTATTTAACAGAACGATCTTGACCTTGATGAAGCTCTACAAGGTTTCTGGGATGCATCACCTGACCATTTCGAATCAAAAATCTTCTCCCCTTTGCATTCCCAGATGCAGTTAGAGTTTGGATCCGCTTATAACTGCGGAATGGTCAACTCCGGAACCGGAAACGAACACTTCGGAATGCAGAATCAATACGGGACAAACGGAATGGAATTCTCAAACTGTTTCCTAAATGAATCAGATCACTTATCATTCGTTGATTCATTTCCTCAAGCCTCCATACCCGAATTTCACCAATACAGCAGCGAATCAGATGGTGAAGTCATCCAAGTTCAGGTACATATAGAATACTTTCACATGATCAAAACATATAATTTAAAACATTTACTTTATCTCATTCATCTTGTATTGTGTAGTCTATGAAACTTGAAAAGGCGATTGGTGAAAATGTTATCTTTCATCTTCCTCATGAACATCAAGCACCAAAGGAAGAATCTTGCAGTAGTAGCAGTAGCAACATTGCATTGGCATCCAATGGCGAGGGCAATTCGGGAACAGGAATTATAATAAGGAATCGCCAGCCAAAGGTTGCTAATGGCATAAACTTTAGTAACCAAGGAACTGCACCAAGAAGAATCCGATTGCAGATGAAACTACAAGTAGGGTCAGTTACCCATGGTGGTGATCAGCAGCCTATTGTGACTGAGGTGGGTTTTTCACCTTTTGTTATTGATTTCCCTTTTTTGCCCCTGAAAAAGGAAAGCTTTATCTTACATTTGTTGATTTGAAATCCAGGAAAAGAAGCATAGCCCAGGTGGTAGTGATGGTGAATTTGATGAATCTTTAATATCAACTTCAAATGTGAAGCCAAAAGCTGATTTTTCTCATGGCATGCTAAGTTGGGTGTATATGCATAAGGTGCTTGTGGTTGTAGGGTTGTGTGTAGGGATTGCTAGTTTATGGAAATGTTTGACTTATTGAGGGGGGATAGATAGGTGAGTGGTTTTATTGTGGATGAGTAGTAGAAACTGATGACTTATATATTATGTTCATATGACCTATCTATATCTTTTTTTTTTTTTTTTTTTTTTTACCCTAGTATGGTAAAGTTTTAGACGTATCAGTTACTCTGTATTAGCCAGTTGTATGATATTTTTTCCTGGATTTGGCTGATGTATTTGATGGTTCAAGTTTTTGATGATCATAATGAATGAATTACTAGTATCTAGAATACTAGTCGATTCTTTTAAATATCTCTAATAGGTTTCATGTAATCATTCTCACACAAAACTAAATCATCGATTAAGGGTGGTGTTTCAGTGTTTGGTCGGTTGAAGAAACGTTTTTTTTTGTTCTTAACAATTTTAAATTTATTGCAACCAATCTTATAAGGTTTGGTTTTGAATAAAGTTGTAAAGGCCAAAGGCTTTTCATTAACAAACGAGGAAGATAATGTTCATCCTAAGTTCTTTTTGTGTTATAGGAATTATTTATTTGGTCTTTATCTCAAATGATATTTCAGCAAGTAATAATACTTGACATTTTGAACAAATACATTTGTCCATTCATTCTAGACCAATTCATCTTGACAAAGTTATAAACGTTATTTCAAATTTGTTTAACCCAAAAAAAGATGAATCAAACCGAAATAAAATACAAGTTTGGATGTTAAAATAATTATCTATTAAATAAAATCTAAAAAAAATAATTTAATGTCTTATTGGGTTATTCACTTATTTGGTTGTCTGAATTTGAGAGATATTCACCAAACCCAAACCAAATAATGTTATTTTTATTCAGTTCGCTTGGGTTATCCGTTTTCAGTTTTTTATGCAATTCTACATGCGGTGATTCTTGAAACAGAGGAGTGTGGTGGTTTGACAGTGGTACCGGTGGTGGTTGCCACTTGCCAGAGAAGACAAAAGGAGGGAGGAGGAGGGAAGAGGGAGGAGTGTGTCACAAGGGAACAAGGAAGACGGGTGGGTGTCCCTTTCAATTATATTCATAATAAAACATTGAAAAAAGGAATAAAAACTGGCAAAAACATATAAAGGATAATACAGTCATTTCAAGTTTGACAAACATCAAATTCACAACCAAACTAGTTGAAAAGGATGAAACCTGCAAGTTTGAAACTGTCTGTACGAAAGCCAAAGAAAACAGCAAACCCTGGGGAGCATTTTTGCAATTTTCTCAAAAGATGATCAAATTATTAAAAGATCCACCTTCTGAATAATTCTTTGTGTGTAGAACAAATCTACACGATTATATACATAATCTTGTTCACATTAAGCAACAAAATCATTGCTATATTAGTATTATCCTTTAGATTCATTCTAGTGCGTTCAATCTGCTATGGTTAAAATGGTATGAACAGTAAACTGCTTTCTTGGATTTAGTGCAACAAGTCAACCTCCATGAACATCTACTACTACTAACTCTCAACCTCTGCCATTTTCAAAAATACATGGACCCCTAAACGCTTATGTTTTAGATTCTTAAATCAAAGACCATGTCTAACCTTGCTGATGCCTTCTTGCATGCCACTAAACAAATATTTATATAACACACATCTTGCTTTATAAATAAGTTGAAGTTTCATCATCTTCCAAAACAAAACAAAAATGAGTTGCATACAATTTACACTTCTAATTTTGGTTTTATTGCAATCTATCCTTCACTCAGAAGCCCAGCTTTATGTTGGATTCTATTCGGGGACATGTTCAGCAGCCGAGTTCATTGTTAAAGAGGAGGTCGCTAAAGCCTACTCCCAAGACAGAGGTCTTGCTGCTGGTCTAGTCAGACTCCATTTTCATGATTGTTTTGTCAGGGTAAAGACCAAACCTTGTTGCTTATATTATCTGTTATCTGTGATTTACCTCTCACGTGATGATCTTGGAACTATCAGTGATAAAGTTTACCATTTTTTTTAATTTGTTAACATGGGATCATTTTTGGTGCCTCACAGGGTTGTGATGCATCGGTCCTCATAGATCCGACTCCTTCAAACAAGGCAGAAAAAGATTCACCAGCAAACAACCCAAGTCTCCGTGGATTCGATGTCATTGATAATGCAAAAGCTAGACTTGAATCACTATGTCCACGGGTCGTTTCTTGTGCTGATATAATCGCGTTTGCAGCTCGAGACAGTTTTGAGATAGTAAGAAAAATAAAAATTCTTATTTAAGGGAATGACTTAATGGGTTAAGCAAAAAAACATAGCTTAATCTATTAAGACATCAATCGTTTTTAACTTAACGAGCTTAATGAGTTGAACACAATCTAGACAACTCTACATGGTTGTTTCCTTTTTACTTAATATGGACATAATGACTTAATGGGTTAAGCCGAACATGGCTTGATGTATTAACACAATCAATCATTTACCTATTTGCCCTTTTTTCATCCAAACTCATGTCACAATAAAATTGATGAAAATTGATGAGTATGTTAAAAAGTTTGTTGGAATATAAAGGTAAAATGATTATTTAGGGTGCGTTGACACACAACTTTTGCGAGCTTTTGAGAGTTTTTTGTTTTTAAGAAAAAAAAACTTTGATCGGCAGAAGAAGCTTTTAGCTTTTATTTTAAACAAAAAACTTTTAATCCAAAAAATATTTCAAGTAGCTTTTTGAAGCTTTTATCTTTTGGTTTTTATTATAAAGTTTGCTCGGCAGCAAAAGCTTTTAGCTTTTATTTTAAACAGAAAAACTTATAATCCAAAAACTACTTCAAGTAGCTTTTTGAGCTTTTAGCTTTTCATTTTTATCTAATTTTACATTTTAAAAAAGCTATTGTTGGTTATTTTTGTACAAAAGCTCTTAATCAAAAAGTACTTCAAGTAACTTTGGGAGCTTTTAGTTTTTAGTTTTATATGATTTTATATATTTAAAAGCTAAAAATTACTTTTATCGAACACTTTACACCATCAACTAATTTTACTAAACACACTATACAACACTATACATGGCTCTATGCAAACATCATTACTCATTCAACAATTTGGATATTGTTATAATTGCAGACAGGAGGACAAGGATATGACGTCCCGGCTGGGAGAAGAGATGGCAGGGTTTCACTAATAGCAGACACAAAGGCATTACCACCTGCAACCGCTAATCTCAACCAACTCACTCAGATGTTCTCGACCCATGGGTTGACCCAAGAAGAAATGGTTACGTTATCCGGTAAGCAACATTCAATTTTTTTTCAATTTCCAATACCGTTTCTCTATCATTGGATGAAAGTAAGATTGTTTGCATCTTACCTCCTATGATCCCACGACCTTATGAGATTTGGGTATATATTTTACTACAGGTGCACACACTATCGGTCGATCACATTGTACTTCATTCGCTAGTAGGTTGTACAACTTCAGTCAATCGGTCAACCAGGACCCGGGTTTGAACACATTGTATGCTAGCAAACTAAAGCAAGAATGTCCAAAGGGAAATAGCAATGCGAATTTAGTAGTACCAATGAACCCTAATTCACCAACCATAAGTGACACAGGATATTATGTTGATGTTTTGAATAAAAGGGGTTTGTTTACATCAGATCAATCTCTACTCACAAGCACAAATACAACAAAACAAGTACATCAGAATGCCATGAACCCGGTTCTTTGGAAGAGTGAGTTTGCAAAAGCAATGGTGAAGATGGGTGGGATTGGTGTTATGACGGGTCATCAAGGAGAAATTCGATCAAATTGTCGAGTTATCAATAAATAACTAGATTATAACCCGCGTTAAACGCGAGGGAACGTATTAAAAAAATATAAAAACATTTATTTATATTGCATAATATCTATAAAAGAAAGTTTATGGCTATTGTTATTATTGAAATGTGAAGAAGAAACACTGAAATCGATAAATATCTATAAACGTTGCAGGACCTCTTTGTTGACAACGTCGTTTGTTTTATTAGTTGAACGACCTTCCTCGTCACATATGAGTACCTTCAAACCTTTTTTGTTTGTTACACGAGAAACAACTACATATATCTGACCATGGGTGAAGACAGGTCTACGCAAGTATAACCCAACATTTGATAATGACTGTCATTGACTTTTGTTAATGGTCGTAGCGAAACCAACTACTATTGGGAATTGCCTACGTTGAAAATGGAATGAAATTTTTTTATCGGATGGGGTCAACTTCATGTGAGGTATATAAGTAGTCTCGTTGAAAAATCTTATTTTGGATTGGTTTTTTCTACAAAACTCCAAATGCGAAAGTCTCAATCTTGATGTAGATATCTATACAAACTGTTGTAGTAATCTCCCTCCCAACAAAATTACATTATAATTTGACCGGATTTGAAACTTATAGCAATAGTACTCCCGCATACTTACAGTATTCCGCCCTCCTTTTGTATTAGAGTCCACACAATGTTGATGTCGTGAACAAAAAAAAATTAATGATTTGTACAAACATGTAATCTTTGTTAATTTAACTAAAATATAAAAATTTATGATATGTGTACCTTCTAAATCATCCTGGATGTCTTCGTCGTCGTTAATAATATTATTGATGGGAAATCCATGTCTTGGGATATTAGAATGCAATCCAGACTCACCATTAGGAAAAAATAAAGGATAACACAATGGATCATAACATCCCCAATAAGATTGAATTGTTCGTGGTTTTTTGGATCTACCATACACGATAATACTTCGTTTATATGTGGCTATGTTGTCGTTACCTTCAATCCAAATACCAGCGACCTGGATTTTTATTATGGAAATGATATGATTATATATGGTGTGTAATATATACAGTTGTATGTCATACATGATATATTTTTTTTATAATTAGTAGACAATAATTATTATGGTACCTCGGATGTGGTCGGTCTATTGTATACCCTTTGGTCAAGTTCTACTGATGAATTCAAAGTGACTCTGTAATTGTCAAGCGGCCCCAGATCGGCAAGTCTTCGAAATATTTGCACGTATGGGTTTGTGGCAAGAACACGGATCAACTTTTGAGCAATTTTGTTTATCAATATTCTTCCATTTGAGTCTATGTGACATCTCATAATCAGCATCGTAAAAATACAACTGTAAGTACCGAGGTTTTCCATCCCTTGGGATTAACTGTTCGATTCTATGATATATTCCTCCATTCAAACAAAAAGTGTATACTCCAGATGTCATATTTGTCATTGTTTTATCCACATCCACGCCTATTGATGCGAATGAAAAGTTGTTGTTGTATGCTCGTATCATGTGTCTAAAGGTCTTGCCTAATTCGTTTCGAGATGTGAAGAGTTCGAGTAATTCTTCGGGAATAGAGGAATACGCCAACTTTGTTTTACCATCCATGCAACAAAAGGTAGGGAATTCAAATTGGAATCGTTTTGCTCCACAATGAACACATGCTTTTTTCCCCTTCAACACACAATGTTCTTTAGGGATACCATTATAAATAAAGTCATATGGATCCTCCTGAAGAATTTCATTACGCGTTGTCGCTGAGTTTTGCTCTTTTCGTCGTTGATAGGCCTTTCTGTTCTGAATCGACCTCCTTTGAGCAGAATCCAATACACTTGTAGGAGTTTTATTTGTAATATCATTTAGGGTCCTCTCTGATGTACACACATTTGTCATATGTGACACGTTTTGTCTACTTACTTCACCATCGGCTATTCGTCTAATCTTGTTATTCTCCTTTCGTCGTTCATAAGACGTCTTATTATATGCTTTTCTTTTTTTCTGCAATATTTTGTTTTGGATGAATTATACGTAAAGTTAAAGTAATAATCATGTTGCACATATCAGACATACCTTTATGTGCATTTACGTCTAGTCGAATGACATCATTAGACCTATTTTCCTTGTCTACAATCACCATGCCAACCGTAAAAACGTAAAAATAATAATTTATAAATTTATTTTTTTCATAACACATATTAATGAAAAACGATTATTATATACAATACTTATAACCGTATTACTTGAACATTGATTGAGTTGAACTAATTATTTCTATATGAAATTGATCGTTGCATTAACTTATATACCTTTTTTCTTTTCAATATTTGAAGTAATGTTTTAACTATTTTTGTTTTTTATGTTACCTTTTCAAGGCTTGTTTGCCTTAAGCAATATATATTTGTTTCAAGTTTCATTAGTTTTTTTTCGGTATATATTTCTTTAAGGGTTTCAATAGTTTTTTTTTCTTAAATAATTGGATAAATGCATATTGATTAGTTTATATTTAAATCATATTTGTAATTTTTCTTTGGTAGAACATTTGTTTTAATAAATATACCACAACGTAAATATCCTATAAACAGAAAGAACAAAATAAAATAATATAAAAAAAATAATCAAACAAAGAAACTAAATTTATAAATGTTACAAAACTTAGAGAAAAAAAAAAGTAAATCATATGTTGTTGTCCCATGATTAGAGGTAAACCAAACCGTGAAATAGTAACAATCAAAAGTTTGTACTTCATCTCAAAACCTTCTTTATAATATTCTACTCAACAACTTTAATGAGAAAAAATGGTTGTATACTTATATTCCCTACAAAAGCCATTTATTTGTTTACTATTTGCCACTTCTTGTCATACGACATAAGTGACTTGTTTGGAATATATTTTCTTATACGGCTAATAAACATCCCTTAATATATTTGATACCTTTGGTCAAAACCATTTTATAATCATTGAATAATACATGTAAAGCTAGTACTTCCTTGTTAGATATATTTTACTAATATGTATTATTTAAATGTTGAATTTTAAATATTATAATTAGTTTGGATAAATAAATATGATAAGATTAATATTCGAATATATAAGTTTTATATTTGAATTTTCAACTTGTTTAGATAGATAAGTAGGATAAGATTTATAAATTTAAAAGTAGGATAATATCAATGTAACAACCAACATTTATGTAGTTAGGATAGGTTCGATATTGTTGAAAGTTTTAGGATATGTTTTTCAAAATTAAACTTAGGATAATATCAAATATACTAATTTTATTTCTTGTTTATGTAATATCCATTTTTAAATATCTGAATTTCAAAATTTATAAAATTAAAAGATGGATATTTTAAATCTAAAATATATAATTTTAAATTATAGCATTAAAATTTCATTTTCCTTGTAATCACATTGTACATTGAAAAAGTTTAAAGTACAATCTTATAATGAAAGTATTTATATAACATGTGCTGTCCAGAAAATCGAATTAAAAATATATGAATTATCCCAAGAAATAACAACCTACTTTAATTTACCCATAACAAATAGAAACTTAATTAAATTTATGATATTAGGATGTTATTTGATGCATTGGTCGAATGTTTAAAAATAATAAAGTTTGTAATGATGAAAAAAATCTGAACATTTAAAATGTTTTGGTTATAGTAATATTGTAGTAAATAAAGGATAAATAGTATAAGTTTGGGATAAATAAAAGGATAAGATTAATATATATATATATATATATATATATATATATATATATATATATATGTTGTTTTTTAGGGTAAAATATATTACCAAATAGCCAATGAATATATAATTATTTACCAAAACAGCCCATGAGTTTACAATTAAAATACCAAATAGCCCTTTAATACAATTGTTTGTTATGTAAGTAATTACTTTGAAAAGTATTCAATTTATAACATTGTACTTTCATTTTCTTATAAAACACATGTTGCCTTGTGAAAAGTCGTTTTATAGTAATGTACTTTCAATAATATGTTTTATTACCATAAAAAACCAATGAATATAAATATAATACCAAACAACCCCGTAAATAAAAATGAAAGTACTTTGATAAAAACAAAAGTAGGGTGCTATAATAATCAACCAATACAAAGTACATTACTATTATTTGAATTTAAACCTTCATAAAGTAGTATGTCACATTAATTAACCTAACCTATATTTGTAATTTATATTAGATTATACTGATGTAAAGGTCTTCATCTATTTTTTTGTATTCACCCAAGAGAGAGCCATTGGTGTCGACAATCATCCGTTGGCCATAGTTCATCCACCAATTCATTTGTGCATTCTCATTTCCATAGATAATGTATTGTTGTTCCAAGGGTAGTTGTGGAATTTCGTTTTGCATGCAATCTTCTTCATTCGTAACTTTCTTATTTGAAAGTATAATGACTTCATCTTGTAGGGGTAATTTTGGAATTATTTGCTTGTCATCTTCTGTTTGTGTATTCAAAAACTTCTTTTCATTTTCAGATTTGGTGGTTTGATTGTTGAATGGTTCCACTTGAACCCTTGTAATATCGTAAACATCACCAAATTTGCAATCTTCACATAACCAATCATTTTTAGGTACTTCATCTTTAATGCTCTGCATACAATATGTGTGTTCGGCGCCATCCATACACCTACTACATATAGCAAGTGCTCATAGCCTACATCTCTATATATATCACACACAATGATATCACATAACTGGTCATCAACAACCTCAACATCCATTACACTGAACATATAACTTCAAAAAACCCTAAACCTGGAAAAAAAACTAGTGTTTCACCTAACACCCTATTTTTAGAAAGAAAATTATGAATATTGAAAAAATTGTAAATAAAGTTACCCAATATATTTGTTATGCATGAACCGAGAAAGAGAGGCAATATGTCTGCTACCTGTTTATGTATATGTTTCTGGATATGTAAACAAAAAACACAATCATTCAATTAAAGAGAGTTAGAATGTATATTAATTACATTTCACAAAGAAATTACCTAATAAGATTTATGT